ACGCCATGTGAGGCCCGGTGGCCGCTTCGAGGTCCGTCTGGAGGGTCCCAAAGCCCCAGATCCCGGGAGTCCAGTTTTGGGGGGGGATGGGTTTTCCCCCCGCCCGGGCTTATAAAAATATAGGAAGAGGAATACACTAGAACCACGCGCGCGCTTCGCGCGCGCGCGCGTGGTTCTAGCCAGCTCCAGCCCGTAACAGTCTCACAGTTGCGTGCAGATGCGCACGCACACATGCAACGTCAGGAGTCACCCAGAAGTTGTAGGCTTTTTTTTTGGTGGCCTCTTGAGGGCGTCTTGGGGCCTCTTCGAGCGTCTGAGGGGCTTTGTGGGGCGTCTTGGAGCCTCCTGGGGCCTCTTGGGAACGATCGTGAGGTCTCAGCAGCCCATCGGAGGCGACAAGGCAAGAAGGCGAAAGTCACTGATTTCCCTTTGGTTTTGGAGGGGTTCTGGCTTGTCGGAGGCGTTTTGGAAGGTCTCCTGGGGCCCTCTGGGGTTGTCTTGAGCGCCTCTGGAGGCGTCTTCAGGCTCCGGGCACTTCTGGGTACGCGTTTCCCTTCTTTGGGCCTGTCTTGGAGCCGTCTTGGGGCCCTCTCAGGCCGCCTTGGGCGTCTCAAAAACTACGACCCTCTGGACACTTCTGGGTTCGCGTTCCCCTTCTGGGGCCTGTCTTGGAGCTGTCTTGGGGCCATCTCGTGCCGTCTTGAGCGTCTCAGGGACTGTCTTGGGGCCTTCGTTGACCGTCTCGGGGCTCTCTTGGAGGCTTCTTCATCTGTGTTCGAGCGGTCTTGGGGGCCTCTGGGGGCGTCTTGGAGCGTCGGGAAACTGAAAGGGCGAAAACTCGAAGAGCCTTCAAAAACCTAAGGGAAATCAACTATGATTGCCTCTTCGGGCGCTCTTGGGAGGCCTCTTGGAGGCCTCGGGGGGGCTTCTTGGGCCCTCCAGGGAGCCCCTCGAGGTGAAGTTCGGATTTTTGGTTCGGGTTACCCCTCCTGTGTCCTTATTGGGACCGTCTTGAAGGCTTTCGGAAGCCCCGGTCCCCCGATGCCCTGCGGTGGTCCCTGGGCGCGGCCAGGGGTCCTCCTCCCTCTTTGCTCCTCCGCCTTCTCCTCTTCCTCCTCCTCCTCCCCCTCATATCCTTCTCCTCCTCCTCCCCCACTATCGACCAGACGCCGTCACACGCCTCTAGGGAGGAGGGACGGGGTTTGAACGTCCAGGTTCGAAGACTTTAGGATGTTGACCCTCTGGGAGGCCGGAAATTTCAAAAACCTGAGGGCCACTTTCCAACAGGAACCCCTTCCCTTGTCTCCTGGCGAAAGTTGCGGAACCTCCGCGGCCCAGGACGACGACGACGACGACGACGACGACGACGACGACGACGACGACGACGACGACGACGACGAGACGACGAGCACGACGACGAGGAGGACGACGACGACGACGACGACGACGACGGCAAAGCAACGACGACGACGACGACGCCGCCGACGGCGACGACGACGACGACGACGACGACGACGACGTGGGCCCTCTTTCACGGTCTGGAGGCTCGGATCGGTCTTGGGACTTCGTTGATTATTCGTGGGTTGTCGTATACCTTCTGAATTGAATAGGTGGGAACTCCCCAAAAATATCTACGGAAGCCAATGAGAGTTGCGTCTTGGGGCCCTCTTGGAAGCCGTCTGGGAACCCCCTTGGAGCGTCTGGGGGCCAGTTTGCACCGTCTGGGAATCTCCGTGGAGCGCCTCGGGTTCTACAGAGGCAAACATCAGCTGTTTTCCATAGCCTTTTGATGTTTTTTGGGGTGTCCGCCTTTTCGGCTTGCCGACGCTTCTGCCCAGCCCCAGACACACCGCCCCGAAACACCTCCAGGACAGCCCAACAATGCACGCAGCCGCACCAGAGTCGCCAGAAAATCACTCTGGGCAGCGGTCTGGGCCGTCGGGAAGCCTTCGTGGAGCGCCTGGGGAGCGTGGTGGGCCGACAGGAGGCGACCGCGGGCGTGTGGGAGTGATTTTCAAGCGTCTCGGGGGCGACTCGGTGCCCTGTTGGGCTGTCCTGGAGGTGTCTTCGGGCGGTTTGGGGTCCTCTTGAGTGCTCCGGGCGCTCCTGGATGGGGAGCCTCTGACACTGTCCTGAAGCCAGTGGTGGTGCTTTTGGGGCTGGGTTGGAGCGTCGGCAAGCCAAAAAGGCGGAAAGCCGCAAAAACATTTAAAACCTGAGGGAAACCAATGATTTGTGTATCTAGGGGCCCTCTGGAGGGCCGTCTGGGAACCCTCTTGGAGCGTCTGGGGGCAAATTTGCACCGTCTGGAAGCCTCCGTGGAGCGCCTTGGGGGCGTGGTGAACCATCGGGAGGCGACCGCCTGCGTGTGGGAGTGGTTTGCTGGCGAATCGGGAGCGACTCGGTGACTTGTTGGGCTGTCCTGGAGGTACCTTGGAGCGGCTTTGGGGCCTCTTGGGCGCTCTGGGCGCCCCTGGGGGGAGCGTCTGACGCAGTCCTGAAGAGGGCGGCGCGCCCAGGTTGTGGGGATGTCTGGGGCGGTTGGCTGGGTTTGGTGGCCAGGCTCGTTTGCGTTCCGAGCAGATTGCGAGGATGTCGCAGGCGAGGCGCTGGCTTCAGCACCCCAAGGGGGAGCCGCCAGGGGGTATGGCACGGGCCCGTTCGCGCCCAGGTTGTGGGGATGTCACAAGCGATGTGCCTGCTCTGGTGGCCAACATCCTTTGCTTTCGGAGCAGCGTCTGAGGATGTCTCAGGCGAGGCGTTTACTTCAGCACCCACAAGGGGGCCGCCAGGGGGTATACCACGGGCCCGGTCGCGCCCAGACTGTGGGGGCGTCTCCGGCGCTTTGCCTGTTCTGGTGACCAGCGTCCTCTCCTCTTGGAGCAGACTTTGAGGATGTCTCAGGCGAAGCGCTGGTTCCAGCACTCGAAAGGGGGTGGAGGGGGGGGGCCGGAGGGCATATTGAAGAGCCCCTTCGCGCCCTGCGGTTGTGGGGATGGCTCGGGCGGTTTGCGCGTCTTGGTGGCAGGACTCGCTGGCGTTCGGAGCAGGCTGGGAGGACGTCTCGGACGAGACGCTGGTCTCACTCCAGGGAGGGGGGGGGGTCGTCAGGGGGCACATCACGGGCCCCTTCGCGACCAGGCTGTGGGGATGTCTCGGGCGCTTCGCCTGCGCCTGGCCAACAGCATCTGAGTTCGGAACAGATTGCGATGTCTCGAGCGAGGCGCTCGCTTCAGCACCCCAAGGGTGAGGGGCGCCAGGGGGTACATCACGGTTCCGTTCGTGCCCAGGTCATCCACACCATCACACTCAGACGTAACTATATTCAGACTCGCTCGTGACCTAACGTATTCTTACTTAGATTCACTCACATTCAGACTCGCTCGCAACCAGGCTCACTCACGCTTCGACCAACTCCCACTCATATTTACTCTCATGCAGATTCGCCAACCCTCAGACTCTCATACGCAGACTCACTAATACTCAGACTCACTCAAATTCAGACTCATACCTATCATACTCGGACGCAGACTCACTCACACTCGTACCTACTCAGATTAAGACCCACTCACACTCAGACTCCCCACCCTCAGGTTCGCCCATACTCAGACGCACTCCTACTCAGACTGGCTCATTCTCAGATTCAGACTCGTCGAACTCATACTCAGGCGCACTCATAGTCAGCCTTGGTCATTCTCAGACGCACCGTACACATATTCTCTCATACCTAGACTCGCTGGCATTCAATCTCAATGCTCCTTCACTCCCAGGCTCACTCACACTCAGATCACTTACGCTCAGATTCACTCAGTCTTCTCTATGTTGATTGTTCCATGCTCCCTCGCTCTTCACCTGTGCTACCCTCATCTCTCCTGAAAAGTGCCCAGAGGAGGAGGAGGAGAAGGAGGAGAAGGAGGAGGACGAGGAGCAGCAGCAGGAGGATTGCGTCACTGAAGTCGTCGCTGTCGTCATCGTCATCGTCGTCGTCGCGCAGGTCGTCTACGCAAACTCGCTCTCACACCGAGATGCTCACAGACAGAGTTCCCTAGCGAGACGTGACAAAAGTATGAGATGCACATATGGGGATCTCCGCGTCGATGTGCCACGTCCCGCAATGAAAAGAAGTTCTAGTCGGGACCTATGAAGAGTGAACTTGGGGAGAGGGTGTATTGCAACACAGTTGATGCGTCTTGGGTTCGCACTGCTCCTCCTCCCCCTCCTCCTCGTCCTCCTCCGCGTCCTCCTCCTCCCTCCCTCCCTCCGTCCCTCCCTCCCTCCCTGCCTCCTTCCCCTCCACACCCTCCTCACTCCTCCCTCCACTTCCTCCTCCTCCCCCTCCTCTTCCTCCCCTCCTCCTCGTCACTCCTGCCTCCACCTTCTCTGCCTCCTCCCCACTTCCCGAGCTCGGCAAAGCGCGGAATGACGCCCCTGTCCTGGCTGCGCCGCTGCCTGCGCCCTGGCACGCTCCCCACCCCATCGTCCCGCCTCCCCCCGCCCCCTCCTGCGCATCCCTCCTGGATCGTTCCCTCCTCCACGCATCCTAGTCGGACTGGAATGACATCGAACCGAGACGGATCGGGGATCTCTGAGATCCCGCGGTCCTGGATGAGGCATCAGGGGCCGCGGCAGTTTCAGAGCGTTCCAGGACGCTCTCAGAGCGTTCCGAAACGCTCCTGAAAGGTTGTTATCCCGATCCTGGCCCCGCCCGACCCTCCCTCCCAGCCCCTCCTCGATCGATCCTCCTCTTCCTCCTCCTCCTCCGCTCATCCTCCTCCTCCTCCTCCTCCTCCTCCTCCTCCTCCTCCTCCTCCTCCTCCTCCTCCTCCTGCTCCTCCTCCTCCTCCTCCTCTCCTCCTCTTCCTCCTTGCACCCCGGAACTCGAGATCTGCCCCCCCACCCCACCCCTCGGGCACGGCCGGCAGGCGGGAGACGGCTCTGGGCAGGAGCTGGGCGCGAGGCTTCCCCTGCGCGTGGAAGTCGCACATCTTGGTCTTCGTCATCTGGGCCGCGCGGCCGGGGTGCGGCGCTCCTCCTCCACGCAGCCATCATCCTAAGGACGGAGGAGGAGGAGAAGGCGCCTCCTTGTGGCTGCCTCGGCGCCTCCTGGCCCGGCCCTCGGCCGTGAGGCCCCCCCTTCGCTGGCGCGGCTCCGTGCCGGCGGCTCCGAAGGGTGTGGTCTGCACAAGGTGCGGCTGCAACCCTCCTCCTCCTCCTCCTCCTCCTCCTCCTCCTCCTCCTCCTCCTCCTCCTCCTCCTCCTCCTCCTCCTCCTCCTCCTCCTCCTCCTCCTCCTCCCTCCTCCTCCTCATCATCATCATCATCATCATCATCATCATCATCATCATCATCATCCATCATCATCATCATCATCATCATCATCATCATCATCATCATCATCATCATCATCATCATCATCATCATCATCCTACTCCTCCTCTCCTCCTCCTCCTCTCCTCCTCCTCCTCCTCCTCCTCCTCCTCCTCCTCCTCCTCCTCCTCCTCCTGTCCTGGGACACAGAAGGACATACTCATACCATGTGCCTTTGCTGGGGACGCACGTGCGACCCGAACACAGTGCAGAATGCCGTAGTAGATCGTGCCCCGAGCGGTGTGGCCAGAAAGTGCCCACCACGGTGCTTGCTTCCTAAAAGATGTCTGAACGCGCGGGTCGCCCTTGCGGGGCCGACGCGCGCATTGTATGAGTATGTCTGGGTGGTGCTGATCCTTCTATGACTGCCTTGACGAACCATGGGGGCGAAGGCCAGGAACGTCAGCAGATTGATAGCAAGTGCGCCTGGTCGGGCGACGTGGCCCCCTCTCCTCCTCATCCTCCTCATGCCCCTGCTCCTCATGTTTCTCGTCATCACCCTTGGGGATGGGGAACGAAGAGGAGACGAGGGAAAGACGAGAAGGATAAATGAATGGGGGGAATGGGTGGAGGGAAGAAGCAAGAGACCCTTGGCGGTCGTGAGCCGATGTTGGTTCATCCTCGGAGCCACTTGGGTGTTCTCGAGGGGCTCCTGGGCCATCTTGGGAATGGGGGAGTATCCTGTGAACGTCGTGTAGCTGATGATGAGCTGTGTTGGGCCAGCGTCAGGGCCGTCCAGGGAACAACCTGGGTCACCTGCTGTGCTCCTGGGCGGCTGTGCTGCCGTCTGGAAGCCGCGTCGAATCTGCGCGGCCATCTTGACCAGGTAAGGGCGGGAGGCGAAGAACACTGAAGCACGTGATTAGTGCCATGTGACGTTCAATTTTTCGTCGATGTGGCCGTTGTGAAAATACTGGGCGGTGCTGGTGTCATCCTGGGGTCGACCTGCTTGGATAGTCTTGGTACCGTCCTTGGGCCTTCTTGGCCCGTCTTGGGTCATTATTTGGAGTTTTAACGGGAGGAGAAGCAACAACCTGGAAGCGCGGGGCTCCTTATATGGACGAGCTGGGATGGACTCCTCTTGGGGCTATCTTGGTGCTCTCTTCTCTCGGGCCACTGCTGGCACCTCCTTCGGATCTTAGAATGATTTATGGCGGGTGTCTTGGGGACTCTTGGGGACACCTTGGCATATCTTGGCGCCTCTTGGAGCGACTTTGAACGTCTTGAAGCAATTCGAGGCAATTCAGGGACCTAAATCTGGGGCGGCCTGGGGCCGTCTCGGAACCGTCGAGGGCCAGCTAGGGCCACTCTAGGCCATCTAGAAAGCGTATGTGGCCCTCTCGGGAGCTCTCCGTGGAGCATCCCGGACACTCCCTTCTGAAAAAATAAGAGTACACAACATCGGCGAAACAGTTGTGCTGTTTGGAACTTAGATTGCCTCTCAAGGGCGCTTCATGGAACCGTATTGGGACCGCTTGGGGAAATATTGGGGCCGGCGTGGGCTACGGAAACGGCTCGGAATGGTTATGGAATCCCACCAGCCCTTTGGGCGTGAGTGGTTTAGAGAGCCCGCTCTGTCCTCAACCCCCCTTCTTCCCCTTCGGGGAGGGGTTTACCCCTCCCCCTACCCCCTCCCCCTGGGCCTGGAGAGGGGGTTTCGCGGGTCGTTGGAGGGGTCTTTTACGACTCCTGGGAGGGCTAAAAAACGACGACCCTCACGAGGATTCTGGCCCCGACGGGGGGACGGAGATAAGTCCCTCTCCTCTTCTTTGAAGCCAAAATCCTTGATTTTACTACGGTTTCGGCCCCATTTTAGCCTCCTGAGGGGGCCGCGCTCATCTTCCTTCATAGCAAAATCATTGATTTCACGAAGGTTTTGGGCTCATTTTGTCCTTCTCAGGAGGCAGCGCTCATTTGCGCTTCTGAGGAGGTCGCCAGAGGCCCCAAGATGGCCCCAAGAGGCCCCCAGGAGCCTCCCAAGAGGCCTCCAAGAGGCCCCCAAGAGGCCCCCAAGAGGCCCCAAGAGGCCCCCAAGAGGCCCCCAAGAGGCCCCCAAGAGGCCCCCAGAGGCCCCAGAGGCCCCCAAGAGGCCCCCAAGAGGCCCCCAAGAGGCCCCCAAGAGGCCCCAAGAGGCTCCAAGAGGCCCCCAAGAGGCCCCACGAGGAGCCCGAACGACTCACACCAGGACGAGGGGCCCGAACGACTCACACCACGAAGAGCCCGAACGACTCACACCAGGAGGAGGGGCCCGAACGACTCACACCAGGACGAGGCGCCCGAACGACTCACACCACGAGGAGCCCGAACGACTCACACCAGGACGAGGGCCCCGAACGACTCACACCACGAGGAGCCCGAACGACTCACACCAGGAGGAGGAGCCCGAACGACTCACACCAGGACGAAGGGCCCGAACAACTCACACCACGAGAAGCCCGAACGACTCACGCCAGGACGAAGAGCCCGAACGACTCAAACCACGACGAAGAGCCCGAACGACTCACACCAGGAAGAAGGGCCCGAACGACTCACACCAGGACGAGAGGCCCGGAGATATGCGGGGGCAGGCGGAAACACGCCTGAAAAACACGACTGTCTGCATGCTTCGCAAGAGTTGCTGTTTTGAGATGGGCTGGTGGGGATACGCGAAGCGTGAAGAATTCCTGTGCGAGTGCGTCAGAGGCTGGGGAGGATCCCATGAAGCAACAGAGAGGAAAGGTTCCCCAAAAACTGGTTCGTGGTGCTATCTCTTGACCCCCAGTTCCTTCCCCAATTAAATGTATCTCCACAGCGGTGCAAATCAAGACGGCGGGGCATGCGAGAGCTTTCTGGCCGAGTAGGTTTCCGAAGTCCAGCTGGATTACCTGCGTTCCCCAAATTGCCCTCTGCATCTCAGTTATGCTAGGGCGTGTGTCGAGTTTCCGACAGCACCAAAATCATTGAGCTGGCCGTGGACGGGCAACATCGAATGCGAACAATGACTGACATCCAGCCCCGCTCACTCAAATAGCCTGTTGGGTTCCCCCATCAAACGAATGTCGACATGTTCATGGGAACCGGCGCTTGCAAAGTCCAGAGAGGCACATGGGATCCTCCCTCTAGGGCCTGAAGGAAAACAAAGATTGGCGAGACCCACCCACAATGCCAGAAATCCGCCACCGTGCCTCGAGGCACGGAGTGGAATGTCGTCAGGTCCCCTTGAATTCTCTGTCTTGAATTCTGAGCTACAAGCTCATTTGAGCCCCCTCCGTTTGTAAGGAAACTCATTAGTAAAGACCTTGAGTAATCCATTATAAGGGACCCGTGATAAGGAATTTGTACTAAGGAACCCTGAATGAGGAATAATTCCTAAGAGATCCTTCAGAGGAATCTGTAATTAGGAATCCTTAATAAGGATCTGTACACAAGAACCCTTGATAAGGAATCTGTACTAAGGAGTCCGCAACAAGGAATCTGCACCGAGGAGTCCTAAATAAAGAATATATGATAAGGTATTCTTACTGAGGAATCTCCACCGAGGAATCCTTAGTGACGAACCATTGCTGCGGAATCCTCAATAAGGTCAGGAATATTTCCAAATATTTGAACACAACTCCATAAAACGAAATGTGTCTTCAGGAAACCTTCATGGGAAACATGGACTAGGAAACCCTTAAAAACAAACCTGCACTAAAGAATCCGTAGTGGGAAACTCACTAAGAAATACGTAATAAGGAATTTGATTACTAAAACTGCACTAAAGAGTACTTAATACAGAATCGCTACTGGTGTATATTTAATCAAGAAGCTGGTTCTAAGGAACCCTTTAATAAGGCACCCTTGGAAAAGAACCTTTACGAAGGAACCCCCCTGAATCCGGCATGTTTACGGCGGGATCATTGCTAAGCAGTATGTACGAAGGAATCGTATATAAGGAATATGTACGCAGGAAGCCTTAAAAGGGTATCTGCACGAAGGAATCCTTAGTGGGGAACTTGAACCAAAGAATCCTTAATGAAGAATACGCGCTAAGAAATCCGGAATAAGGAAGATGTAAGAAGACATCCTTGAAAAAGGAATATGTACTAGGTAATGTTGACTAAGGTATATTCACTGACGAACCCCCAGCATGGACTATTTACAAAGGCACCCTTTGAAAGGAATAAATGCAAAGGAGTCCTCAATATGGAATCATTACTAATGAACCCTCAACAAGGAATATTTACGAAGGAGGCCTTAATGAAAGATCTGTACTAAGGAACCTTTTGTGTAAGGAATATGTACTACAGAGTGCTTCGTAATGAATAACAAATAAGGATTTTTCTCAAGAAACATTGATAAGGAATCTTCATTTACGAACATTTAATGAGGAATGTTTGCTAAGCCATCGTCAACAAATAATTTCGACTAAGGATTCTGTATTGAGAAACGTATTTACGAAGAAATCCTTGATATATAATATTTGCGGATGATTCCGTACTAAGGATTTGTTACTGAAGGGTTACTTTTTATAAGAGACCTTCACTAAGAAAGCCTTGATAAGGAATATGTACCAAGGAATCCTTTGAAAAGAATCCGTACAACAAAAATCTTGATTGAGGAATCCGTAGTCAGGAACCTGTACTAAGGGATCCTGAGTGAGGAACCTTGACTCC